AAAGTTATTCATTAAATAAATCATAAGGTTACTTATGCGCCACCCTTTACGGTGGTGTATCTTTCCTAGTGTAAAAGGCCTATGGTATATAGTTTAGTGGTGGTTGAAATAGTATATGCAAGATGGATAATTTTTTTAATATCTTAAACAACTGCTATATTGTTTTATCAATACTTGATATTACTAAAACAGTATGGAGTACTTAATACAATATTTTTATAGAAACACAGCAAACTTTGAACAAAGACGTGATTCTTGTTGCAAGATCGTACAAATGAAACTTAAAGAAAAGGTAGTACGCTTTCATTGAATTGGAAAGCTGTAAATAATGAAACCACACAATTACCGCTTTGATCGTTTCTTGCGAAAGAAACCGTTTAAAATATTATTTTTATTTTCTATGGAAGTGACGGCAGAAAGTAAATATTTGTTTTAAGTGTTTTTTACGTTAACAAGAAAGATGTAAGGTTTTTTATGAGTGAGTAATTTAAAAAGAACAAACAGCTAATAGTAGTAACTGCATTTTCGATTGTGGTGAGACAAGAGAATCCGTTACTCCGTTTAATGAAGGAGTTGTAATAGTTGAGCTATTTGTAAAGGTGACCTGTAATCCACAGTGACTCAATACTCAAGGAAGGTCAATGAAAAATCAATTTAGATTTAAGACTTTTTTGATCTGTTAAACTTTTTAGTGTGACTCTTTAGATCTTAGTATATATAAAGGATATTCAAAACATCCTTCGGCTTAAATCCTTTATTCTAAGAACAGTTTCATCGATATCTGAGAGCGATCAGTTATTTTTTGGGTGTCACCCTGAGGATTTTTTTTCTTACACCGAACAAATCTCAGATAATTTAAATTTATTTACGGGTTGATATTAAATTCTAAAGCTTTTTATAAGCTGTTTCTGGGCATCTTCATAATCATCATCATTACAACTTTTCACACGGTCCACTACTGGAAATTAGCCTCCCCAAAAAACGACACAAAGTTTTAAAAATGGGTAAATGTGAATGTAGTAAAAGAAAGGTAAATGTGAAAGAGTTAAAAATAAAATACTGTTTTATTTTTTACACAATCATAACATAATATAACATCCTTACATATTAGGTCGAGGAAATTTTTTTTCGTATTTTATATACAAATTCAAGACATTTTTTTTTTCAAAGTATAATTACATTTAATTATAATAAACATGTGCTACTTTGTACCTAACCTAACACTACTCAAAGAATTCTGAAGAGACTGAAACAGATAAAAATCTGAAGGTGCAAGCAAGTTTAGGACTATATGATGAATGCATTAAGACTTCCCAACCATGCTCTATCAATTTTTGCTAAGTGGCCAAATGTGTGTGTGGTCTGGCGTTATCATGATGAAAGACCACTCCTTATTTCTCAATACCAGCCGTTTTTTTTTCAATTTCTTGCTTAACGCTCATTAGTTGTTGGCAGTAGAAATGCTAATTGATAGTTTTGGTCAGCGGTAAAAACTCATTGAACTCAAAAACTCAACTCATTCAATAAACGATGCCGCTCCAATCCCACCATACACAAAGCATCACCTTATTGCATGTTAATCCGGTTTTCGCTATAATCTGTGGAGCTCGACTAGCTTTTGATCATGATCTTTTTCCAGGTTTTTGCCGTAGGTGATCCACTTTTTATCACCAGTGGTCAATCTTTTCAAAAATGGTTCGGTTTTATTACGTTTCATTAGAGAATCGCTAATGAGTAAACTATTCACTGGGTTTCTTTCAGTGAGCTCGTGTGGTACCCAAATATCGAGCTTTTTTGTATAGCCAGACCTTTTCAAATGGGTCAAAACTGTTTTGTGGTCAATCCTCAATTCTTCGGCTATGTCGTAACTACTAATATTTACCCTGTTCCAGATGTTTAAAATTCCCAGACTGAAAACGCTTAGACCAGTTTTGTGCTAACCTTACTGACACTGTATTAGGTTCATAAACGTTACAATTTTATCGCGGCTTTAGTCGCATTTTTCCCTTTTTTGTAATAAAACCTCAGAATGCATCGAATTTCTTCGTTATATATATTAACTCATTTTGGCGGACAGAAAAACAATTGAAAAATGGCGGGAAAGTGTTTTTTTCTTTTTCTTAATATCCTACATTTATTGATATTGAAAAGCAGCCAGATACGAACTGTACAACCAAAGAGATTTTTCTTCAATTTTATACAAACAAAATAAGAAGAAACTTTTTCCCCGACCTATTATTATATAAGCTGTTTTCATAGAACTATTAAAGAAGTTGCTCACTACAGCTAATATTTCAGCTCTTTTTTGTAGATGTATGTATGGTTGTTATTGTACAATTTGAAATATTGGATTAACAGACATCTAATGTGAAGTAGTTAGTGAAGAACAGGAAGCGAAATGCCAATGTCGAAATGCTTATTTGCAAACTTTGCTATCCGGATGTCATATCTGAAGTTTAAAATTGCTAATATGGAATAATCAGAACAGAAAACTCGCTGTTTTTAGACAACTAAACGAAAGATTTCAAGATTTTTGATAAGTCTTCTTTGTACTACAGAATAAGCAGTACTGTAAGCTGTACTTATTGCGTGTGCACTGTCGTTGAAGTTTTTTTTTCTATAGAATTAAGGGCAACAAACAGAGCATACAGTCCACCTGATTATATAAATCGATGCATATTGTCGAGCCGCAGGATAGATTCAATAAAACGTGTACCGAAATTTTGGTTATCTTCATCGTAATTATAGCCCATCAAAAGTCCACTGCTGACCACAAGCTTCCTCTATAGATTTCCTCGTAGAGGAGATATTTACAATAGTTACAACGCTTGGCAATCTTTGGTTTGGCTTGGTTATCAGGAAGATGCTAAAGCCTATCTTCTATTTTATTATCCCTATGTCGCTATTTACGACACCCTCGGTACGATATGGAGTAGTGGAATCCCTTACGCCATCTCCACATGACAATGATATGTTGGCTAAGATATCCGAGGAAAGGCCTTTGGAAAAAGTAATCATTATTTTATTTTTGATCATACCATCAGAGAAATATAAATTATAAAATCTACTTATTTTGAATAATTTAACAGGGAAGTCCGTTGAAAATAATTTTCTATTCCTGAATATAAACCAGGCTTGAAATTGAAATTGAAATTCAGTTGAAAGGAGCGCGCTTGCAACTGGGTAAACATTGTGTTGTATTTTTATCGGAATCTGTTCCATGAAATTCATCTTTGTATTATCTTATTTATTGAAGAAAATATTTTCTTTATTTAAAATATGTAAATAAAATGTAAAAAAAAATAGGAATATATTCTTCTTTTGCTTGAGAAGATTTATTTCATTCGTTACAGCTCATCAAAAGTTCACTACTGACCATATGCCTTACCGATAGATTGCTTAGGGGGATTTTTGCCATAGTTGTCACGCTTTGCAGGCGGATCATTAATCGCAGTTTTTATTATTTTGAGTTGTTATCAGAAAGATGCTGCTGCCCATCTTCTGTTTCATCTTTCGTAGTACTAACATAATTTAATAATGGCTCTCACAAATTAAAATGTTTATAACTCCAATATTATTAAAAGGCAATGTAAACTTGTGAGAGCAAATAAAGCAAACATTATTATTATTTTGGTGCATCTATATAGTTTACTCATCTGGTTGGGCTGTATAAATATATAATTGTAAATGAAAATGATAAACATACAAAAATATCAACAAAATAAAATAAATGCATAAAAAATACATAAATAAATAAAAACCCAACTAGATGGAAGCCCTCGACAGGGGAGACCAAACGGCCGAGGGTTAGGGGGAAAGGGAAAGAAACCGGCGGACGATGCGGGCGGTATCGAGGAGCACCGCCTTCTGCATTTGAGCTTGGAGCGGTCCGTCACGGAGTCCCAGTCGCCTCAGATGACCCGAGAGGCTGACTGGGATTAACCCGTTCGCAGAAACGACTACAGGTATAATTTCGGCCGGCAGTCCACCCCACATGTCGGTCACCTCGTGAGCCAGGTCCAGATATTTTGTTCGCTTATCTGTTTCGGATTTCACGAGGTTCTCGTCATACGGAATGGTAATGTCGACCAAAAATATCCTTGACTGTGCCCGGTGCATCAGCACAATATCAGGCTTATTCGGAAGAATGGTCCTGTCTGTGATGATGGCCCGTTCCCAGTAGAGCCTGGCGCAGTCATTTTCGAGCACGGCTTCCGGCATGTACTTATAATAAGGCAGTTTCCGATCCACGAGACCGTATTTCAGAGCAAGCTCCTGGTGTAGAATCCTGGCTACTAGGTTGTGCCTATGCAAGTACTCAGAGTTAGAAAGCGCCGAACAACCGGAGATGACATGCCTAAGTGACTCACCAGGATGGCGACAAGCTCGACAAATGTCGACGGTGCCATCCCTTAGGATGTATCTCCGATAGTTGTTGGTCTTAATAATCTGATCCTGTATTGCACAGACAAAACCCTCGGTTTCCCCGAAGAGGTCACCAAAACGTAGCCAGTGGAGGGAGGTAACTGTATCTACGAAAGGCTCATGTAGAGCCTTGTAGAACCTTCCGTGGAGCTCCTTCTCCTTCCATACGGTCTCCCGGTCGGAAATGCTCTGTACTGCCGGGTCCTGCCATTGTTCGTTGGCTAAGGATAGAAGGGTAAGTCCTTTATCACAAAAAATAACGTCCCTATAGAATGGATCATCCGCTTTCGACAGAAAATAATTACGGAGGCTGCACACTTCGCGATTATGCAGGGTAAGCGCGCTTAAAAAGCCGCGCCCACCATGCTTCCGCGGCAAGTACAGCCTCATTACCGACGATCTCGGATGATGCACTCTGTGGGACGTCATTATAGTGCGGACTTTTCTGTCCAGAGCGTTCAGTTCGGTCTGAGTCCACCTGAGTATGCCAAAGGTATACATGAGAACAGGCATGATCCAGCCGTTATAAGCGTGTGTCTTATTAACGCCCGACAAAAGACTGTTAAGCATTTTTGTCAAGCGTGCATAAACACTTCGCAAACTGACTGCTTCATACCCGCCTCATCGACACCGATGTTCTGTGACATACACAAGTATCGGTATGTTTCAGCCTCGGAAAGGGTCCTTATGCTGATGGGCATAGATAAGTCCATGCCCTCAGAGTTAGCAACCCTTCCCCTTTCGACATGGAGGATCGCACACTTATCCGTCCCCAGCTCCATTCCAATAGAATTGCTAAAATCACAAGTGATGTTTAGCAATTCCACAAGATGGGAGCGACTGGAGGCGAATAACTTGAGATCATCCATATAGAAAAGGTGGGTCACTTTTGTACCTCCTTTCCGAAGCTGAAATCCCCTCCCGGAACCCTCCAGTAAGGTACTGAGAGGGTTCAGAGAGAGGCAAAACCAGATTGGACTTAAACAATCGCCCTGGAAGATACCCCTTCTTATCCTTATGTGGTTCTCCGCAGCCGTCATCCGCTGGCCTAGATGACAAAGGATCGTACTCCACTGCCCCATACACTGCCCGAGGAAGTCTCGAACCGTACAGTCAACCTTGTACAGCTCGAGGACCCTCTTAAGCCATGTATGAGGCACCGAGTCGAATGTCTTTTTGTAGTCTATCCAGGCGGCGGAGAGGTTCCGACGGTTGCGTTTAACCACCTTGCCAATGACCGCATCAATGAGGAGTGGTTCCTTGGTTCCACGACCACCGCCCCGACATCCATTTTGAGCGCATGACATCACCTGATTTGAGTTCAGGTGACGAGTGATTCTCGCGCTCAAAATGGATGTTAGTGTCTTGTATATGGTAGGTAGACACGTTATGGGGCGGTACTTGCTCGGGTCTGTGGAATCTCGGTCTTTAGGAACCAAATGAGTGATCCCACTAGTGAAGAGGCTCGGGAGCGACTTTTGGTCGAGAGCCTCTTGAAACTATCGGGCGAGTACAGCGTGACACACCACGAATCCCTTCAGCCAGTAGTGATGCAGTCCGTCGAGTCCCGAACTTTTCCAGTTCGGGGCCCTACGGACCGCCTCAGCTACGTCATCCGGCGTTATGATGACGGGGTCCATGGGCGTAATATTCGCACACTGACTCGCCACAACTTCCGTCCAAGGGCCCTCGCTGTGGTTTACGGGCTCTGACCACAGGCCGCGCCAGAATGCGATAGTGTCGGCCTGATTCGGTGCTGGGCCCGTTCCACGTAGCATTGGCCGCTACAATGATTCATAGAGCCTCTTCTGATCACTCTGGAAGAGACGATTCTGGTTGAACCGTGTCGACCTCTCGGTATATCGCCGAATCCGCTTCCCCCAAGCAGCGATTCTCTGCTTCAGGTCGTCTATGTGCTCCGTCAGTTTTTGTGTTATATCCGGCTGGGACAAACTGATATTTGTCCCAGCAAACGCCATCCTGACGGTGCGTACAATTCTCGGCCTATTATTGCCCGACCTAAAGCTTATTAGTCTGCCGATGAGGACCCTTGCCTTTGCGATACGGTCTTCAATCCTTCTTCTCCAGGCTGGGATGGCGCTACTTTGTCTAGTAGCGCGTCCAGACGTGGGAAGTTTGGCGCCAATAATACGGCAAACTGCGAGTGCGGCGCCAAAAAGAATTGAGTCCGTCTCGCAAAGGTCCCGGCTGGCTTCCAAATAGGTCACCAGCATTGGGTTAAGAGCCCTCACGACAGCCCGATTCCGCTTGCTTAGGGGTATGCGAGGTAGTCGCGGTCGATTTTCGAGAGGCGTACTGCGCGTTTCCACAATCGCCTCCTCCAATTTACTCCTCATCTGCTCTAGTTCTTGGGTGACCATTCCATCATCGTCTGAATCAACTACAACTGGAAAATCCGCGGCGGCATCGACGTGTGCAGATTGTTCTGCAATTTGTGGCGTCGCATTACCAGCTGTAGCATTTTCATCCGATGAGGGAACGGCCTCACGTCGTAGTCGTTCGAGTTCGGCGTCACCAAATATGTTGTAGCGCAGGATGTACCGAACTCGGTCTGCCAGGTTTTGCTCTGATACATGAACAGATGGCTCCAGCTCCGCGAAAAAGCGATGCATCCGAGCCCGATACGCCAATATTCCAGTTTCTTCCCCTTTTGCCCTAAAATACGCTCGCAATGCGTTTGCGTTCATGATTTTTATCCAACGCATGCGACGTGTTCCACCAGCGGCGGGTGCCACTTGCTGAGTCCGAGAAGACCCAGCCGACACAAAGCCCTCTGGTGGGGATGATGGATGCGGGCGGCTACTAGGTGGTCTTGCAGCCCCCCGCGCTTGGCTGGCGACCCGCATACTGTCGCGTCCAGCGCCAGCTCCAGACGCGCCCTGGCGACCTCCAGGCAGCGGCCCTTTGCGCACTCTTTTATTTTCCATCATCCATTGTATGGGCGTCAATTAACGGGAGACGCCCAGGCCTGGCACCGTTTCATGGTGCGGCCATAAGCACAGACGGACCTTTGCACCCTTAATTCTGCCGAGGCACGGCGCACGCACCTCTTGGCAAGGCGCTGACTGACTGCACTGACGTAGCAGTTTTGTCACTTAACTGCGTCTTTTTATTATTTTTATTATTATTATCTCTCTCTGTAGCTTCTTTCTACACCTACGGTACAACTTGAGGTTGATTCGCTTACCTATGTCGTCACGTACACGGTAGAGAAACCTGCAAAAAATTTTAAACAAAGAAGGCTGCAGATGTGTTGTCACCTCTGAGAATGGAACCTGTCCAGACGGACTCCTAGACAGTAAAGTCCTACCTCCTAGTAATTGTTCTTTGTCTACCTAGGTAGCCTAAGTGCTAGTGCTTATTTTTAACTAGGTGTAGTAGGAATCTAATTAATAGAATCAGGTGTTACTTTGCGGAAACCAATTATATTAAAGTTGGTAAAATTACTTTGCCTGCATCCGCTCTGCGGTGAGAGCTTACTTCACCTGAGCAGAGTCTACTTCACCTGAGGGTCTCGTGTAGAGGTGAAACACGTGTCGTATTATCGTCATGGTGTGTCTTTAATATTGTAGTGGTGTTGGAAGTAGTGGTGCTGGGATTAGTGGGGACGGGGATAGTACACACAATTGAGGGAGGGCGGCAGGTGCTCTTTAAACTAGGTAAGACACATTTTATTTTCTCAGGCAAAGTAATTTTTTACTAACTTTAATAGTAGGAATCTGTCCTTGTATACTTTATTCTGGTTTAGGTTCACATGGAAATAAAGAAATTAATGTTACAGTTACAGCCTGTATACATCCCACAGCTGGTCTCAGGCGTCCTCTCATTTTCTGCCCCAATGCGTGTTGGCGAACTTCACGTCTTCGAATTTTTTTTCTTATCATTCAGTCATGGAGGTTTCCTATGGATGTTTTTCTTTACTACCGAGCACGTGGTAAATGGGCACTTAAATTTGTAATTAACAATTTCATTGGTGCCAGCGTGGATCGAATTCGGGCTGGGAAATTTAGAGCGAGCGCTTAGCACATGGCAATATGCCGTATAACTATTTTTGTTTTTGTGTACATACACTAAATTTTCGTAAATATATTGATAGGACAAAGTTGATATATTTATTTCTTTAAATTTTTCTCTAAGGGATTCCTTTCGACCTAGGTTATAAATTGCTCTTATGGCTCTCTTTAGCAATACAAAGATAGTTTAAATATCAGTCGCATTACCCCATAGCAAGATTCCATATGACATTGTACTATAGAAATAACTAAAATTAACTAATCTAGCTGTTTCAAGACATATAAGTCATCTAATCTTTTTTTACAGCATATGCTGCAGAACTAAGTTTGCTAGCTAGATTAGATATATGAGGGCCCCATTTAAGCTTCGCTCTTGATTTCCTATGAGGCAATACATCTTAGTCCTCAGAGGTGACAACGCGTCTGTAGACTTTGTATTAAGTTGACTACATGTGAACATGCACTGCAGTAGCCACTTACAATCTGGATGTCTGTAAGTTCGGTTGTAGCTTCAATTATTTAAAAGAAAACCTTAAAATTAATACTGCGAAATTTTAATAGTTGGTATTTGGTTAGTTGTGAACTTAATACTAAATATTATTAAAATTTATACCATACTAAGTTGAGAATATTATATACTCAGTTGAGAACTCGTAAACAACGGCCTATTTAAGCCATTGTTATTTTCGTTCCTTAACATTGTTTACGGCGCTGTAAAATAGTAAGTTAAGCGTTCTCTGTTCTTGCTTGAAAATTGAAAATCTTGCTACATTAGATTATGCACCCTAATTTATTTCAATGGAGTAGAGTATTACGTAAGAGCCAAATTAAGACAATATTTTACCTATTTTATATTTTTGTTGATAAAGTGTTTAACGGTATACTTCCATTTCTATGTTCATTGTATGCTTACGAAGTAGAATTTTGATGATAACAAATTCTCCGACTTGATAATGGCCTATGCTCAAGATCGGATATTTAAAAAGTTGATCATGCAGCAAACGCAATCTGGAACAAAAACTTATTAAATAGAGTGACGGCAGGATGACTATCACAACTTTGTTAAATAATCAATTTATAGGTCTAATGTCTGAAGTATAAATTATTTTGATCATAAGAGATTCAATAAATTAATACGTAAATAGACACATACAGGGAATGCATGGAAGCAGGTGGTTTATGCTCGAGTTTTGTGGTAATCCAAAGGGTTAAAGAAGATTCAATAACGATGATGATGAACATAACATTCACGTACCAGATCCAATGGTTTTGTGTTGGCCGTGCTGTGTAAATCATGTAATGAATGTGATTAGATTGGTGAACGTTGGTTTGTGCCAGATGGACACAGCAGCAAATTACGGAATAGAATGTACTTATCAGAATAATGCTATTGAAACAAAATTTTAAAAGGAAACTAAAACAGTGCTGATGATGTAAGGTAAAAATTTTGTACAGCCGACTTCAATATAAGTTATTAAGAATAACTCAAAAACTATTGGTTTGACCTTGATCAAATTCATATGGGACCACACGAGAAGTACCATCTTTCAAAAAAAAAAAAGAATCATCGAAATCAGTTGACCCAGTAAAAAGTTATGAGGTAACACACATAAAAAAACACAGTCGAATTGAATACCGTCTCCTTTTTTGAAGTCGGCAGAAAATGCACACTGACATTATAAATTTCTGTAATAATGGAATACGATTTGTTGAATTAATTTCCTTATTAGAGAATACGCGAAAAGGTAGATTAGAACTTAGGTTCAGTAGAAACAAAAATATTGTTTTTAACAAAACAATTTAGTTACTTTCTCTTTAATAGTTTCCCGGCTATCGGTGTCCTTGATTGAAAATAGTAAATTCACCTCTGTGATTACTTTTTTTACTTTTAGTTTGATTTATATTTTGCGGCAAAAACAGGTAAGAGTATGGTTATTACTCAGTCGGACTCCTAAGAAGAACACTTCTATCACCTAATAAAAAATATCAATTGCATTGAATTCTGTTCTTAATATTATTGTATGAATGCTGCTGTAAAATAAATGAATAGCATCATGAAGTTGTATTAGTTGACTATATGACTGAATAATCTCCGGGGTCTCGAACTGATAAAGAAATAACCATCTGAAAAATACAAGACTTGGAGACCTAAATGACTACTAACTACTACTAAGTTTCTTTGTTTTATAGGAGAGAATGCAAACGAGCTTGCGGCTACTAATCTTTTAAGGATAACAGCGTGCAAGTTGTACTACCATTGACTCATCAAATAA